TCTGGCTCCCCCCTTTTCTGATCCATAGAAGGCACCTTCTTGTCATGTCCTCAAGGGCGCAGAGGCAGAGCTCCCTGGAGCCTCCTCCGGAAGGGCACTAACCCCACTCGTGAGGGCTCCATCCTCTGACCTCAGCACCTCCAAGGCGCCACTTCCTGACCCCAGCCCCTTGGGGGCGAAGTTCCAACATGGGAAGGGGGACATGGTGGACACACGTTCGCGCCATCAGAGGTGCTCTCCCTTGGAGCATATATAAATACGCCCAGACCGGCTGGCCCGGAGGACGCGTGAGGAATTGGGGACCGTAGTGTTGCCTCTGGGAAGGGGAACTGGGTATCTGGCCGGCCGTAGGCTCCACCTCCTCCTGCTTACCAGCTTCTAGATCTCTTGAGGACCTTTGGAGTTATTGATCCTATTTTATGGCTCAGGAGCGTCCCCAGCATCGGGGACTGTTGGCATCAGAGTTTCCGGCGAGGGGCTCCGACGGGGCGGGCGCCTCCCTAGGCCTTGGCTATCACAGGGCAACTTCAGCTTCCTGAAGCAGGAACATGCAGCTGGTTCCTGGAGGGCCCCTGTGTGTGTGAGGCAGCCCTGGCCTCCGAAACCCCGTTAATGTCCCCGTCAAAGGAAGACGATGGAACAATTGACTTTGGTGACCTGCGTGGGCGGCCGTCACAGAAACGAAAGAGCAGGTGGTGGCGGTCGGGTGCGCGAGGTGCTCAGCGGCCATCGGATGTTGGCGTGAAGCCCGCAGGCCGCTCATGACTATGAGGGAGTAAAGGGGGAGCCTCCATCCTGAATGCGATGTAAACCGCTGCTCCCTCACTTCTCCCTTGCTGGGAATTTTACCTCCCTTTTCTGTTGCTCCTGGGTAAGGTGAGCACGAAGCAAACCTGGTCTCACCCCCTTCCCGCCAGCTCTCCAGTTGCTAAGTCCGTGACCCTTAAAGGCACGAGGACAGGGCTGGAGGGGCTGAGTGGCTGGCCAGGCACACTTGCGGGGCCACAGGGCAGGCCCAGGCATCCTGGCAGGGTTAAGATCTTCTTTCTGCTGGGCCACGGCGCCCATCCCTCTGTAAACGGGGCAGAGGACCCATGTTTCCTGCTGGATTAGATGTCGAAATGCAGGCCCAGTGGGGCTGAGCGTCTCGGTATGGGCCTCCGTATGTTTTTATCAAGCTCATTGAAACTTTTAATAGAAGGATATTCTTCCTAAAATCTTCTGGAAACTCAGGCACACACTTGGCTACCAAGTGTCTACCAAGATGACAAACAGCCTTCACAGCGCTAAGAAGGCTCAGAAACAGCCCGGCAGCCCTCCCCGAGGCCTGGCATTTTGCACACAGGCAGCCGTGGCGTGGATGAGCGTGTGGGGGTGGCGACCACCACATCTTTTCATGGCGGTTATGGTCTTTTCCACGTTCCGTTATGGGATTAAGGCATCTGGGGTTTGGCATCCTACACGCTGACATCCAGCTGCTCTGGCCAGACATCTCAGTTTTGGGGGCACCCCGTGCTGAAAGAGCTGGTTCCATCGCTGCATTTAGGCAAGGGTCGGTCTCCAGGGGTGCTGGGAAGAGCCTCCAAGTTTGGGCCTTCGCCTGGGGAAGATGACGAAGTTCTGCCAGGCAGGTCAGGGAGGAGCACCCGTTGCTTCTGCCTCTTCCTTCCCCCCGGGGAAAAACAAGGCAGCAAGACAGTCCCTGTTCCCAAGCTTCCGTGTCGCCCTTGCCAGCAACCAGAGAAGGCCAAAGGCCACCGTTTCCTGGAATAGATGTTGGCCTGCCCCTGCCCTTTCGGCGAGTGAATGGGCTTCTTGTTCTCAGGCTTCCAGAGAACGGGACTGTGGGTGGCAGAGACACATTGTCTCCGCGCTGGCAGAGAGAATGATCACTGCCTCGGGGCTGTTCCTCTGTGCAGCCTCTGAGCAGCTGGGAGTCACCGTGGAGGTCATTGGCTCAGAATCTCAGGTTCAAGGCTATCGCCCATTGCAGGGGTCGTGCAGTGCATGGCGGGAGGCAAGTCAACTTTGCACAACTGCTGTGCCTGGAATGAGGCTTCACCTCTGCACCAAGCACAGGAGCTGGAGACCTTCTAGCCCCCTGGTTTTCCACCTGGAGATTTTGTTCCCCAGGGAGCATTCGGTCTTCATGGTTGGGAGAGGGGTGCCACTGGCATCTAGTGGGTAGATGTTGTGGGGGCACAGGATGGCCCTGTACAAATGAAGACTCACCAGCCCCAAATATCAATAGTGCTCTCAGCCCAGGTCCCCACTCTCAAATCCAGCTTGGGGGAGTGACTTGCAGGAGTTGAGGTTTTCCCAGACAATCCCAGAGGCCAGATGTGTGGCCTTGATCTTTCATTGAGCTGCTTGTCCAGAAAGAGAAGGAAATGCCCAGGCAGGAGGCAGTGGCCAAGTCGAGACCTTCGAATCCCAGGTCGCTGGACTTGCTTGTGGGCAGGGCAGCGAGGGCTGGCTCCCTCCAGCAGGACCCGTGCTCCCCAGGAGGCTGGAGCCTCCGTGGGCTTTGTCATCTCGAAGACGGTGGCCACAGGTGCTCCTCGCGCCAGAGGGCCCCGCGCGATCCTCTGCACAGTTACGGCTCCTTCAGGGGCTGAACGGCTGGGCGTCCCTCCCTTTCCCGGCGTCCTGCGGCCCAGCAGCCGCCGCTCTGGGCTCCGTGTGGCCACGTCCTAGCAGCTCTGTGACTGTGCTCTTCGCCTCCGCACTGCCCTCAGTTTCCCCGCTTCCAGAGTGGTGCTAACCCTGCCCGCTCGCCCGTGTCTGGGCAAGGCTCTGAGGGGGCATGACTAGCACTGCAGAGGCGCGTGGAGCGCAGTGCTGTGGCGCTTGCGTGGGGCCGTCTGTTTTGCTTCCCGTGAGCACCGTGAATACCTTCGACGGCCTTTCCAGAGAGCGAGCAGGGCAGCTCACCTCGCCGCCCTGGACCGGCGCCTTCCAGTCAGCCCTGAATGTCCACGATCTAGCTCTGTGCTGTCCCTGTGGCCTGTTCACGACTTGTGGCCGCGGACCACTTAAAATGCAGCCAGGACAAGTGAGGAGCTGGATTTTAAATATGATTTTAAATATGATTTAAATATTTAAATATTTTTAATATAATTTTTTTTTTTTGGTAACTAAAGTGGTCACGTGTGGCCGTATCCGAGTATATGTGGGTTTTGTTTTTCTTCTTCATGTTATGACTGTGTCCCCGAATCAGACGCGTCAGGTTTCTTCCTTCATAAACCAAGACCAACTGAGATAGGATGTTCTGGCCCGCGTTACTGCCCCTTGGTGACAAAATCACTCTGACGTTAACTTGACGGGGAACTTTAAGGTAGGACTTCAGCTCTGTTCAGAGAGCTGGCCGCTGGGGGTTCATGGAAGGAACCGTCTGAACAGAGAAAGCTCATGCAAATCTCGTGGGGAGGGAATGTCATCTCCAGGTGAGGCCTTAGAAGACAGGCCTGGGCCTTTCGGCAGCAAAGTGACCATGTCGGGGGTTCCCATGCGAGCTCTGTCCACACAGCTGGAGACCGGGATTTTTGAAGGGACAGTTTTCTCAGGGGAGGCTGGAAGGTCGTGGATGAGGTGGGACAGGGAGGGAGAGAAAACCAGGTGAGAACTGAGAGGCCTGCTTGATCCCACAGGGGACTGCTGAGAGTCATGCTTCGCTGCTCTCCCCAGCCAGTGGCAGGGGACTGGACACGGCACTTGGCTCCTGTCCATCATTGGTTAAGAAAGCTCGGCAGGTGGGGGCGGATTTCGAGGGGGGTCTTGGGGTGGCAGTAAATGTACTTAGCCTTCCAGCAGCCCCAGATTGGTCTTCCAAAGAAGGGCTGCAGCGCCCAGAAAGTCAGGGTGCAGCTGTAGGTGGAAAATGACCCCTTCAGTCACCGTTTGACAGTATGGCCAAGCAAATAAAACACCCCAAGATGTCCCCAGAACAGGCAGTGGGGACCAGTGGTTCTCTTGTGCTTCAAACTACCAGAGGAGAAATGGATCTGAACTGCTTGGGTCACTGCTCAGCTGGGGAGGAACTTTCTTCAAATCGGGAGTCAGAAAGCATCTTGGAGCCTGGCACCAGTGTGGCAACTCTCCTGCCTTGGGAGTCAGTCTGTTCCATTTCAGACCTAGACCTGCCTCTGGAAGAACCACCGATGTGTTATTGTGGAAACCCTGCCCTCTATCCATTTCCCAGAGCAGGCAGAACAACACTCGGTGCACCCCACCAACCTTCCAGGGCATGTCGCTACCCCGTCAACCAAGGTGGTGCTTGTGAGAGAGCAATTATGACATTATGAAGCTAATGTGTTCCAATAAAACTTTATTTACAATAACAAGGGGTGGGCCAGACTCAACCTGGAGGCCATAGTTTGTCAACCACTGGTCTAAGTTGATCTTGAGTCCCTCTTAGAAATGATCATAGCTGTTTAGACTGAACAGATTCTACCTGACTGGGCACTGACGAAGTCCCCGTCATGTGAAGCGCCCTCAGGAGAGGAGAAAGCTCTCCGCCACTGATCATCATGAGAGGCTGGGACTCTACTGGACATTGAACATGTCCCCTTAGGAGCACCTCCCCCTCCCAAGGTCACGAACTTCACAGACAAAGATGAGCTCATAACTGGCAGCCCCTCTACGCTGGCTCTGTTTTCAGGGCGCTGTTATGTTTTCTTGAGGCCCCTGCACAGCCAAGTGTCTGGGTAAGGCAAGGATCCCAGCATGCGCCACCTGGTGATTACCAATTTAGCATCATTAGCTACTGTCTGCTCCGCCGACCATCCGATGCCAGCACAGTGCCTGGCACACAGGAGGCGCTTAGCAGATGCGTATCAGGAGAGTGAATCAGCCTCGGAAGGCAATGAGGGTGGGCTCAGGTGGTCACCTAGAGCTTCCCCAGTGCGGCACTCTCTCGTCACTTCCCTGTGACCTCACTGTGCTGTTCTAAGGCCGATGAGTTCCGACCTTGTGGGCAACAATGCAGCCGAGGTGGGGGCAGAAGGCTTGGCCGTCCTGGGGAGGGCACCGGGGCAAGGAACAGAGGAGGGGTGACTGCGGGCACTGAAGAAGTCATGCTGTTGAGAAACAAGTCCTCGCCTTAAGGAGCCGAACAGAGAAGGCTGTTTGGGAGGAGGCCTAGGGGAGACGTGTGCGGCAGTTGCCACCAGAAGCATAAGAAATGCCACGGGCAGCGGCCTGCTGTGCTCTGCTCCGCCCAGGCCTCCGCCCGGGTCTTCCCCTGGCATCAGGAATGGCTGTGGCTGTCCCTGCTACCGAGACTTAAACCCAGTTCATAATTTCCTTTCCTAATTAGGCATGGGAACGATGGAGACAATTATTAATAATATGCTGAGTCTTTTTTTAAAGTGCCCCCTCAGAGCCGAGCCTGAGAACAGTGTTGTTGATGACGAGCAGCCGCACGGCCACCACGCCGGGCTCCGTGCCCAGGACTCCAGGCAGAACTCAATAAGTCAGAAGAGTGAGTGTCCCCGGAGCTTGGGCAACAGACTAGGAGCCACAGATGCAGAGGCCTGGAACCCCTCTGCAGGGCTTCCGTGGGGAGGCTCCAGGGGCAGTGGGGAGACTGGGCGCAAGATGCCCGAACCCCCTGCTCCTCTCCTTGCTAGCCAGACAGGCCCTAGATGGGACCCTCCCCTCAGGCTGCCTTCTCTCTTCCGCCCTGTAGGTCACGGCTTCAATGTCACCTCCTCAGAGGCTTTCCTGATGCTCAGGGGGATGCTGCCTCCCCCTTCACACACTCTCTCCCGTGTCATCCTGCCTTGGTTTCCCCAAAGCGTTTCTCTCCGCAGTCTGCAGTGGCCCCTGGATCTGCTTGCTTGTTTTTCGCTGTGTAGCAGTGACAGGGGTTACCAAGCAGGAGTTTGCTGCCGGCGTGTGTAGAAGTCAACACGACTGCACGCGGGGTTCGAGAAAAAGTAAAAGAGCTTCGTTGCAAGGTCAACCAGCAAGGAAATGGGAGGCTCAAATCCGTCTCCTCAGTGTGGCAGCCAAGACGGGTTGTAGAGGGTAGGGGGTGGCTGGAAGACAGTCTTCGTTGTCGATGGACCTGAGCTTGCCCGGGGTGCCAGCTGTTAGCATATACCCGCCGCGTGTTCTGCGTGTTCGGCGTAGTTGCACCTGCGGCCCAGTTCCGGCTTAGCTACGCGTGCAGAACCAGCCCCAGGAGGGAATTAGAGAAGCTGAATGACAACAGCTGCTGTGTCCTCTCGCCGCCGGGGAGCAGGTTGGCGTTAGGTTCACAGGTTAGTCCCGGGGGCAGATGTCGGGGTTCAAGGTCAGCTCCGCCACCCACCCAGGAGAAGCCGGGCGTCTTCGTGTGCCTGCTTCCTGCGTTTCCCTTTCCTCCTGTGGCCCAGAGCGCTCTTCACTCCCTGGTGCTCCCTCAACCGCCCGCCTTCCCTCCCGCAGTGTGCGCTGGGCAGACGCCACCTGCCCCCGCGCCCCTGGCCGCGGAAGTGGACTGAGGCAAAGTGGCGACCTTGATCTGGATTCGCTTTAGGTGCACGACCCCGAGCCTCCCTGTGCTGTCCTGCTCCTCCGCTCCCCAGCGCCTCCGCTTCCCTCACACCCGTCCACGCCAGCTTTGCGTCCCTGGAATGCTCAGCACCCCCATCCTCACTCCCAGCTGCTGACCTCGCTGCCCTCGTCCCTGAGACAACGGACACAGCCACAAGGAAGCTTCTACCACAACCCCCTGTCCTCCGCTCACAGCCTCTGCGCGCCCTTCCGACACAGCGCCGCTCTCCCACCTGGGTATAGGGGCCACCCCCCACTCTTGGGGCATGGCTGCCAGTACACACACACACACACACACGCGCACACACACACACGCACACACACACGCACACACACACGCACACATTCATCTCCCATCTTAAAATCCCCTGGCTGTCATGTCTCCCCCCTTCCAGTTAGGGCTCACTTTGATGCACCCCTTTGCAACAAACCCTCACTGCTGAGCTGTCCACGTTTGCTATTTCCATCTCCTTCCCTCAGACCCTTAAACTGCCCGATCAGGCTTCTTCTACCACGTCCTCAAACTACCTCCGATGGTCAGTGGTGACCACCATGGCGCTCTGTCCAGTGGTTAGTCCTCAGTCTCCTCACATTTGCCCTCAGCTGACCTCCTGCTCCTCCTTGATGTCCTTGCTGCTGGATCAGCAAGCCACCCCCTTGACACCTCCCCTCCCACCCCCAGCCCTGCTGGTCTCTGCTCCCAACCTCCTCTGGGCCCCTTCACTGTGGAGCAGGCAGGGCCCAGGTCTCGACCCTCTTCTCTGCTCCACCTGCACCCGCACTTGATCTCACCAGGCCTGGGTGCTGACAATCCCAGTTTCATGCCTCTCGCCGAACCCTTGCTTCTGAACCCAGACTCTAGACTCAGCGATGCGCTCACCATCTCTCTTGAGGGTGTGATGAGAACCTCATACTCCACACCCCAAAACCTGCCCTGCCCTGGTCTTCCCCGTCTCAGCTAACAGCTGGAGGCTCCATCCTTCTACTCTCTTGGCCCCAAACTCTCAGTGTTACCCCTGACTCTTTCCTGTCTCATTCCCCACACCCAACCTGCATGAGCTTTGCCCACTAAGCATCTCCAGAATCTACCTTTTCTCCACCCCCATCTGAACCACCCCCATCTCTCTCCTCGGCTGTATCCTCCCAAGTTCCCACCGCGACATGCACACAGTCTTCTCTAAGCACAGCAACCGTGTCACCTCGACACCCCTCTCTCCAGACCCCTAAAGGAACCTCGTTTCTCACTGTGAAAGCCTGAGGCCTTCCTTGGCCTCCAGACCCTGAGCCGCGCCATCACCTTCTGTCCTCCCTTGTCCACTTTCTACCGGCCACACCAGCATCTGCGGCGCCTCAGACATGCCAGGCCCACGCAGCCCTCAGGCCCGCTGCTTTGGCTCATCCCTCGGTACCAGCATGATGAGCTCCCCCAAATCCAGTCTCTTAAATGCCACTCTTTGAGCTTGACCCTGGCCACCCAACTTGACATTGCCGCGCGCTCCCCCTGCACCCCAGCACCCTCAGCGCCTCTAAGCTACTCTGTGGGGGGGTAAAAAAAAGGATGTAGCTGCGTCCACAAGGCACAGGGACCGGCCTATTTCCAGGCCTCTCCTTCAAGAGCCAGGAGACAATTCCAGAAGCCCCAGCAGACCTGTCCTCTCCTGTCACCGGCCAGAGCTGCATGGGGTGCCCGCCCCTGGGCCAGCGGGGGGCAGGACTGAGGCGGCCAGGCTGGCCGAGGACACGCAACACCCCCCTGGGCCGGATCCACCCCCCGAAAGCTGGGGGAGGGTGGGGCACACGGGGGAGAATCCTGGTTCTCCTGGGAGTAGGGCGAGGGGGGTCTGCTGCGAGCCCTGCCTGCCCGGCTCTCTCATCTCCCCTTGCCCGGCCGGCGGAGGAGGTTCTGTGGCTGCCCCCCGGCTTCGATGGGGAGAAACACATTAAAATAAAAAGATCCAATGATCTCCCCCAGGGGCAGCATCTGGAATTCAGCTCCAGGGCCCTGATTCCGAGCCAGTGGGGGCGACTTCCCTGAGGAGCAGGAGAGCGCCCCGGGGGAGGCGCCCCAACCGGGCGGGAGCCAGCAGGCCTGGAGGAGGCAGGGCAGCGGGAAGGAGGCAGGGCAGGTGTCGGGGTGCAGGGACACAGCCAGGGCCGGGGTGGGCCCCGAGAGGCACGTGTGCAGCAGTTGCTGAGAAGGTTGCTGAGAAGAGGCGGCGGCGGGGCGGAGAGGCTGCGGGGCGTCTGCACAGCGCCGAGCAGGGGACCTGGGGGTGTCCGGCCTCGTCTGTCCTGAGGTCCCGGCCCGTCTGGAGCCGGAGGCCGCTATGGTGGCGCGCGTAGCCCCGTCTCTGGCCCAACTTCCCCCAGACACTTCCCGGGCCTTCGCGTGGGTGTCCGGCCTCGCGGAGGAGAGAGCCCAGGGCTTGGCGCGACACCGCAGGCCGCGCACTGGGGCCGGAGGGGCTCCCGGGCTGGGGAGGCAGCGGGGGCCGCCGGCAGCACTGGGGGGTGGGAGCAAGAGACAGCTCCCCCAAAGCAGGCCACACCCGGCGCGGCCTCCAGGGACCCCACCTCCAGGGACCCCACTCTAGCCCCATGCCAGAGGCCAGTGACCCCCGTTTCGGGTGCGGCATCCACCACAGCTGTTCTGGCAGCATGGAGGGGGTACCCTTGTTTCTGGCTGGCTGCTGGGGCGCCCGGAGCTCCCTCCCTTCGCCGTGAAGTGCAGGCAGAGAATCGCCGGCCGCACGGGGTCTCTCTGCTGTGGGACTCTGGTCTGGGGGAGGATCCGGAAGAGCGACGAAAAGGCGGGGTGTCTGCGCTGCACCCAACGCCTGAGTCAGCTTCCTACAGGCAGACAGGGATGGAAGGGCCCCCCAAGCTCAGGGAGCCCTTATCCCCTAGAGCAGCTGCAAGGGCAACCTCCTTCTCTCTGCATTCTAGAAGCGGGGGCTTGTTTCAGAGGTTTGCCCTCAGAGCCAAGGTCTCATCTTGTGTTTCTGCTTTTAAAGTCCAGCCCCAAGCTGTGGCACCTGCAGGGCAGGACACGAAGAAGCGGCCCCACACCCACACCGCCCGTCGGGGGGGTGGACGCCCCTGGCACAGGCCTCCCCGCGGATGCCCCGTGCCCGTGAATGGGTCGCAGCGGCCTGAGTCAGCCCTTGTGTTCGGGAGACAATGGGCTGTGTGTGGGGTGGGCGGGGGGGCGGGGGGGAGGCTCAGCTCTGGCCCCCACAGCCCTGCTTCTTCGGTCTGTGTCAAGGGGCCCAGCAGTGAAAGGCAAGCGGCCCCCTGAGAGCCGGTGCTGGGGTGTGCGGGCCGGTCATAAGGCTGAGGGGCCTGAGCACCGGGTCTGCTCCCCCCTGCTCTGAGGCTCCTCTGCCGTCTGCGGGGTCTGTGAAACTGGGGCCCCCCAGGGCCTCCGAGCCAGATAAAAGCAGCAGGTGATTCAAGAGCAGCGCGTGCTCCTGTCCCGCGTGTGCACCGCTCCTCACCACGCAGGGTGGAAGACCTTTCGTGTGGGCAGCCTGGGGGTGCAGCAAGGGACCACACCCCCTGAGGGTCCCCTGTGCAGGAGCTGGTCCCTTGGGGCAGGGCTGTGTGACCCCAGGGGCCTGTGCTCCCAATGCCAGGCCCAGCGCCTGAGGTACCATCATGGCGAGTTCCTGGCAGTGCCCCAGGCCCAGGGAGCCTCTGAACTCGGTGCCCCACAGATGACACTGTCCTCCGTGGTGTGTGGACATAATGTCCACTGAAGGACATTAGCCCATTAGCCCACTGGTTTCTGGCTCAGGGGACCCTCAACAAGCCTGCGCTCTGCGGTGGGATCTGCCCGAGGCACTGGGAGCCAGGCTCCCAGGAGCAGGAGGAGAGAGAGCCAGGAGGAGAGAGGGCCGCTGCAGGCCGCACCCCCAATTACATTCACTGCTGGGTCAGCTTCTGCGGTCCAGACAGGAGGCCATGCAGGCAGCCTTGTCATGAGTCACCACAATTGGCAATTCTGCGAGTTAGGAAGAAATCTAATGGTGCCCCCAAGGCCCACCACATGCCTAGGGCGTCCCCGCGTGCCTGGCACTCAGGGTGCACTCCATAAGCAGTGGGAACAGCGGCTGGCCTCTGGAGGTGGCCACACGCAGGTCGAGAGGTCAAGCCCTGGGTTACTCCTTATCCACCGCTAAGGATGGGTCGCGCGCAGACGAAGAACACACCATCCCTCCCTTCTGCCAAGAACCAGGCAAGACGGCGTACAGAAGCAGACTGGTCTGCCCGGCTCACTGTCCCCCGGCCCCACTCCCTCCTGTCAGGAAACATCCCGCGCAGGCGTGGTCCCGGAGCAGAGACAGGTAGCTGGTTCCCGGGATCTGCACAGAGCGGTGAGAGCCGCGGGCCGTGCCATAGGTGCACGGGGGCTCAAGCCCTGATGGGCCTCTCTCTGCTGTTGGCCTCAGTGTCCCATCTGCAAAGGGTGTGTCCGTGGGCTCCGCCATCAGACCAGTGGGGCTGGTTCGGTGCCCAGCCATGACGGGAGCCGCCCTGGGTACGTCGGAACGTAGGCTCTGTCGACTGGGAATCAAACCCGGGAGGGCACATTCTCAGGAGGAATGGACTGGCTTTGGTGCAAGCGCCCTGCACCCCTGTGCTGCAGGTCCTCCCCACGGCCGTGCCAGGTGGAGGACAGGGTCTCCCAAGGGCTCACCAGGCTGAATGCCAGCCCCTCCCACAACGCCCAGTGTCTGATGGTTTGTCAAAGACAAAACACCCCAAATGCCAGCCACCCCCTGTAGGTGATGACTGTGGCTGCCCACCTCAGGCCAAACCCAGGAGGGAGAGACCTAGCCTCTGGCAAGAAATGAGCACCGTGGAATATTACTCAGCCATCAAAAAAGAGAAACTCATGTCATTCGCAGCAACATGGCTGGAGCTGGAAGGGATCATCCTCAGCGAAATAAACCAGAAAGAAAAAGAAAAATACCGGGTGGTCTCACTCACAGGAGGAATGTAGAGGATCCAGATAAGGGATCAGAGAAAGAAAGGTATTAAAATGCCGTGAAAATGAAAAGCAACAGGCAACGGTCAGCCGGAGGCGTTCTGCAGGCGGCGCGGGGAGCAGGATGCACACGGGGACGGCGAGACGGCGCAGGGCGAGCGGGTGTGGGGGCGTCCCCGGGACCATCACCGAGATGAGGAGGAGGCACCATGTGCAACAATGAAGAACGATGTGAAAAATACATAAAATAAAATGAAGAAGAAGAATCTGATGTTGACAGGCCCCCCTCCCCCCACCCCGAGCGCCGGGGGCCTGCGCCTCACCCCACCTTCAGAGGAAGCGGATTTAATGCCTCAACTGCGGAGTGAGATGTTCTGTTATTTTTCATGGGAAATTAAACTTGACCTGCTGTCAGTTGGCTCATGCCAAGGCAGGATGGATGGCCGGGGGCCCAGCTTGACCTCTGCTGGGCGCACGCGGCCTGGCGGGGGGCCAGCCATGATGTCACCTGCTGCCGGGGGTGGGGGGGCAGGGAGGCCAGCGGGAGAGGCCAGAGCGGCGACCTTTCCTCCAGGCCCTGCAGCAAGGGGCAGTGAGGCCACCCTTGGTGTCGCCCGCACCGGCCCCTCGCCTGAGCCCACCGGGGACCGGCTCGCCCCGGAGACTGAGGCCGCCCCTGTCTCTTGCAGCTCCCAACTCTACCTCGTGCCCCGCGGAGGAAGCCTGGCGGGCAGGGCTGGTGACCACCATCGCCGTGTGCTGTGCCTCCCTGGTCTTCCTCACCGTGCTCGTCATCATTTGCTACAAAGCCATAAAAAGGTAAGTGGGGCCCCTCGCTGGGGGGTTGCTCCTCCGTCCACCCCCATGATCATAAACACGGGGACGCACGGAAGGAGCAGAAAGACTAAGTGAACGTCCATCTGCCTTCGCCCTGCCCCAGGTCCCCAGGAGTCTGCTAGGAATTTGCTGCATTTATTTCCTTTTTCTTTTGCCTCTTTCTTTGCTGAAATAGTTGCAGTCTGGCCTCAGACATCATGCCCCTGTCATTTATTAGGGAGCTCAGCTCAGCAAGCATTTGAAGAGGCCCAATTGTATGTCGGACTCGGCGCAGTGAACCCTGCCTGTAAGTCCCAGGCTCCCCGTGGGCGCTCGCTCAAGGCCGAGGAGTTCAGAAACCCTCCTTGCAGGGTGGGTGATGGAGCCACCGAGGGGAGACCCGGGGCTGGACTCCATTCAGCTGTGTCATCAGGAGGAGATCACATCACCTCTCTGATCCTCAGTTTCCCTCGCTGTCAAGCGGGAAAGAATAAGAATAGCAGCCTTGCTCTGTTTTTGAACAGAACAAAAAGGAGGGGGGGTGGCTTCTGCAAGTATTATGCACCATATGTATACTCCATGGAGCCCAGCACACAATAAGTGCTCCCCCAGCCCTGCTCCAGCTTCCCGTGTTTCAGTAGTCAAAGCTAGAGGAAGGAGAGCAGCCAGAAGGGCGACTCTTCCCTGGGGAAAGGAGAGGTTGCGCTGCCTCAGAGGTTTTCAGCACATGCGCCACCTGAGCTGGGTTTTGAAGGACAAATAGGAGAGTTCCAGCGGGGCAGTGAGCGATCCAGCAGCAAGACATCAGTCATACTCGCTGACATGTCTGAACCATCATCTCACTTGGCCTTTCAAAAAAGGTCACCAGGCGCCACCCTTCTGTGGAGGTGGGGCTGGGCACGGGTGGTTATCTGTGGGCTGGGGAGGTCCGGGCTGCACGGAGCGCCCCGTCCAGCGGAGCAGGCCGCGGTGTGAGTGGCGCCCTCTGGAGGGCGCAACGTGGCGGCTCTGGCCGCCTCCAAAAACTGGCCTCCGGGCTCCCCTTGGGGGATGGAAGCCTCAAAAGGCAAACAAAAATGTTGCCAACAGCCAAAGCCTCCTGGGCCGCTGGATACATTTCTGACAACGTTTAAAAAAATTCCCTCAGGCCCGAATGAGAGGATCCGCATTAAGAACGACTGTCACTCTTCACTTTACCTCTCAATCCCTTGTTCTGTGTGATTTCGCTTTAATAATTCCAAAGCAGAAAGAGTGAAATATCAAGTTAAGTCTTAAAACAAACGCCCGGTCAGGCGCTCGGGTGAAGGGCCATGTCACCAGCAGCCCCGGGGCGTCTCGTGACGTGGGCGGGGTTGGGGGCGCTGGGCGGCCGCTGCCAGCCCTCAGCCCGGTTCCTTCGAGCCATCTCCAGAAGCAAGGATAACAGCGGGCGCTGGAGCCCACCGCCCGCAGCCCCGCGGGGCTCCCTCCGCACCATCACGCTCTCCCCATGTCCGCTCTCCCCACCAGCTCCGCTTTATGGATGAGGAGACTAGGGTCACACGGGTTAAGGGAACAGCCCACGAGGGCTCAGCAGGTCAGAGCTTGAGCCCAAACCCAGCCCCGACCACAGCGGCAAATCAGACCTCGCCGCCCTTCCTCGGGGCGCCCAGGAAAGGCAATTCTTTCTGGTCGCTCATTCATTGGAAGCACCTGTTCTCTCAGGCGCTGTGACGCCATTGAAGGGGAAATTCAGTGATAAACCTGTTTGTTCTTTTTAAACTCTCAGCCTGGAGCCCTGGGGGAGGTCTGCGAGATCTTGGTGAATGGCCCCTGCACAGCCTTGGGGGGCAAGAGTGCCAGGAGGGTAGTTCTAGCATCAGCTGGGGTAGAAAGGGGAGATGCCAGCTTGGCGTGGCATCTGGGGGTGGAAAGAGATGGAGGAGCAGATGCAGGAGCCCCTGGGGGCTTATGGACTTGGCGGGGCATTACCCTGAAGCTGGGCATTGCTCACAATGGGACCAGCACCTGCCTCGGCCCTGAGTCCTGGTCAGCTACCCCACACGCCAGAAGGTTCCCAGCCAGGGCACCCACACGGCCTGCATGTCAGTAGCTGTCCCTGAAGAGCGGCTTTACCCACAGGCACAGGTGCTCAGGCCCAGGGCCCGTGGGCATTCTGTACCCCTTCCCTCCGCACCCCACTCCCAGCAGCACAGGTCATGGGCGGCAGGATGATCTGAACCCGGGTCTGGGAGTCCAGTCCCCTGAGTTCCATGGCAAGCCCCAGTTGGCTCAGCGGGTCCCCTGGGCCTCATTTTCTCCATCTGTCAAACGAGGGTCCTCCAGGCCTCTGGCCGGCTCCCTCTTTGTCCTGAGTCACAGGAGGGTCACGCGTCAGGCAGACGCTGCCTGAGGTGCCTGCTGGGGGGTGCCAGGCCGTGCATCACGGATCTCGGTGCTAGGGGCTCCACACCCGGTCCTGGGGCGCCCCAGGTGCACCTTGGAGGAGTGGTGGGTGAATCAGACTCCCCGGAAGAAGGAGCACCGTCGCAGCTGGAGTGGGGCGTGTGAAGGCAGCCCAGGCTCTGGCTGCCACGGCAGAGCATTGGTGCGGGGTGGGCGATCCCCAGCGATACTCAGCGGGAGGCTGGACACCTCTTCAGCAGGTGCAGGGAGCCGCCGCCCCCGGGGGACCTGACGGGGAGAGGGAGCACATCGATCTGTGGACCCTCAAGGGCGAGACGCCCCTCGGGTGGCCTTGGCGCCTCTCCCACAGCTGCGCTCTTCCAGCTCAGGGGAGCCTGGGGTGGGGGGTGGCCAATGACGGCCGCCCCCTCCCAGCCCCGCACACCCCGGGCTCAGGAAGGGCGCCGTGTCCCTTTGGGCCATCGATTTACCGCGAAGCCACTTGACAGCGTCTCCTTCTGATTTACTGGGTATTGGCTGGAGGACCAGGGGAGGCTCCAGGCCGGGGGGCTGGCCCTGAGCCGGCTGGTCACAAGCTCCACCAGCCCTCGGCCCTGCACGCGGGCGACGTGCCCTCCGCGGCCCGCTGCGCCCCTCGAGACCCGGGAGCTCCCCCGCCAGCTGGCCCCCCGCGCTCTCCGAGGAGCCTCGCCCGGGTCTGCTCCCGCCCAGGCCAGGGAAGGGGGAGGCAGAGCCCGTGGAGCCCATGATGCTGGCGTTGTGGCCTTGAGAGCTGAGGACCCGGAGTGGCCCAGGCCCCAGGCCCGCTGGGGGAGACGGCTCAGGGTCGGAAAATCCACCCTCCTCCGCCCACAGCGGGAACCCGGGGCCTGGCCCAGGACGCTCACCTCCCATCCTCTTGGTTTTAGGAGCCATGCCGTGTAGGGAGCCTCCGCGGCCTCCTCTGCCCGCTCCTGGGTGGAGAGGCCTCTCTCTGCTCTGTCGGCCCTGGCTGGCTCACACCACTCGGGGCCAGGCTGGGTCGCAGCCTGCCTCTCTAGGGACCCCGGAGCGCCACGGGGTGCACGTTAGGTAGGAAGTCTGCAGAACGGGGGCGGCTGCTCCCCGCTGACCCTGACCCCCAGCAGTTCCGAGAGCTAACACTTCCGGGCGCTCACTGTCCGCCAGGTGCTCTTCTAAGTGCTTGACGTGCCTTAACATATTTAATCCTCCCAAAAGCCTATGGAATGGGCACCGTTATGGTGCCCATTTTATAGAGCAGGAAACTGAGGCCTTGACATCGTAAGTGGCTTGCCCAAGCTCACGCAGCTAGAAAGTGGTAAGGCTGGCAAGCTGGGATCCTTGGGCAAGTCGCTCTCTCCCTTAGCCTCAGTTTCCCCGTGAAATGAACCTCTTAACTTCATGCCCAGCTTCTTCGGGGGCCGCCGTGAGAGGGGCCTGTGACCACTGTGCTTTGCACGGAGATGATGCCCCGAGACAGGAAGTGCTGGTTTACATCTGGCATTTCTAGAAGGAGCCGTGGGGGCTGGGCCTGTCCACCCAGAGGGAGTGGCCTGGGACTTCGTCCTATGTTTGTGAGTTGCTTCTGCCGCAAAAGAAGGGGGAACAGTTCATAGATTCAATCTTGGGGTGTTGGCTCCAGCAGGCCCCACCGCACAGGCCCTCCCTCCCTAAACTAAGTCATGTGCACTGAACCCCGTAAGCGCCAGACCGGCCGCCCAGGGCCAGTCCCTCCCGCGCGGGGCCCGGGGGCGCCCCGGGGACACCTGAGAAGGCGGAAGTACTCTCCAGGCTCTCAGGGATGGCCACAAGCTTTCAGTTTAGATGACACAACAAAAGTAATTGAGACTCAATTCCCTGTTACTGGGGACACGGAGGTCCCTGAGCTCCCTGAGCTGCGGCCACGCGGGCATCAGATCCAGCCAAGGCACAGCGGTCACGCGGCATAGGACGGAGCTGCACAAAGTGTGCGGCCTGAATCAGGAGGCTGTGGCCGCTCGGGCCAGAGCGAGGAGCAGGGGTCCGATGCGGGCCGGGAAAACAGTAGCGGGAATTCAGCACCTCAGCTGGCGCGCAAGAGCCTTCTCCGCCTCCGCGCCAGCTCGCCTCATGGCCTGGGTGCGTCGGGGGGGACGCGGCCTCCGGGTGAGCTCCGGGGGGCTGGACGTGCATGTCGGCTGCCGCACTGCGCTGATTTAGTTGGGGTGCTCACCGCCCCCCGGGCCCTCCACCACCCACACCACCGTCACCCTCCACCCAAGCGTCACCACCCCCTTCGTCAGTCAGCCCTGGCCCCCAGCCTTGCCCTCGGAGTCACCATCGTCACCACCCTCACCGCCCCCCTCCGCCCCGCCGTCACCACCGCCATGACGCGGACCCTCCGTTCCGGCATCACCATCACTGCTGCCACCTCCAGGATCACCCCACCCGTCCCTGCACCCCCGTTTCCACTCCCACCAGCTCAGCGCCCCATCGCTGGCCCCCCCACCGTCACCTTCCGCCCCACCACCCCTGTCACCTTCACCGCCAGCCCTTCACCCCACTGCTCCTACCGCAGGTACCTCCAAATACCTGCTCCGTGTCCGTTTGCTCGTCACCACAGAGACCGACCCGGCTGACCCTACGTCCCCCTAGGCTGACCACACCTTCCGGTTTGTCCACGACCGTCTCTGTGCGTACCTGGTGCTGCCGCTTCAGCCCCAGCGCCCCCCTCACGCTCAGCCTCGCCCTGTCTCATACGACGCAGGGGTCACCCCGGCCAAGCCCATCCGTGGCTTCGGTTTGACTCCACTAAGACTCCCGGCCCGAGGCTCCGGGCTCAGGAGAGCCTCCTGGGCTCGCAGGAAGGGCAGGCGCCCCCCCCCAGCCTCCCCCCCCACTGGTAACTAACGGGTGTTTGCCTTGCCCGGCCCTCCCCCCCCAGGAAACCGCTGAGGAAGGAGGAGAACGGCACCGGGGGCGCTGAGTACCCCATGACTTCCTCGCAGAGCAGCAAAGGGGTGGACGTGAACAACGCTGTGGTGTGAGCGCTCAGGCCCCGGGCCCGCCGACCCGAGGGGCACCTCGATGGCACAAGTGGACACGGGAAAGCAGGAGGACACGAGTCGACACCAGGCTGGCCGGGACCTCATTGTCTTGCAGGCCTGGGGCCTCCCCAAGCAGAGACCACACTCCTTCCAGCCCTGCCCCAGCAGCCCGCCGGCAGAGGCCGCCCAGCCCCAGGCGGAGCCGGGCCCACCCCCTGCAGTACCCAGGGCAGCCCCGGCGCCCAGGCCCTCCGCAGCCGCCTCTGGACTCGTGTCTGACCTGCTGACCACATTCCAGCTGCTGCCAAAGCACGGGCTTGGAGGAGGACAGGGCATCAGCCTGCGGGTGGGCGGCATCCCCCTTGAGCCATAGAAAGGTGACCCAGGGGCCTGCTCTCCTGGCAGAGAACCTCTCGTCCCCGGGAAATCCACCTGCTTCTCCACTGTCCATGCTGCTCCCGACAAAAGCCATCAGCACAGCCATGAGACACCCCCTTTCAAAGGTGCTCCCCACACATCTGCTCATCAGCCGTCTGCGACTGCCTTCGGGCCCCAGGGCCTGCCTTCTCCCTCCGGCCCCCACCACACCCGGCCCCTGGCTCCTGACTCGCCCCCGCCAAGGGCCGCGAGCCGGCCTGCAAGTCCCGCCCTGGCCCAGCCGACAGAGAGGCCCCTTTGTGTGGAATGACTCACGCGCCCGAGGCCAAGGCCCGGCGGACAGAGGCCACGCGCCTCTTCTCAGACTCATCCCGCAGCCGGTCCTCAGCGACCAGGAGCATCTGCGCGAGCCTGGCCCTGCCTGTGTCCAGCAGGGGCCACCCCTTGTGCCAAATCCATTGTGGGCACGCCAACCCGGGCCCCCGGCCTGGCGCTGGGTCCTCCCCACCCTGACGCTCCTCTGGGGCCCTGGCCGGGGAGCTGGGACCCTCTCCGGAGAGCCCCGAGCCTCCCTGCTCCCCGGCAGGGCGTGTGTCCTCCCCGCGGCGCTCTGCACGTGTCTCTCCAAGGCCTCACGCTCTGAAGCACTGAGCCCTCCGGCGGGATGGGGGGGGTCAGGAGACAGGAGAGGGGCCGCCGGGCCACCTCTTGGCCTGTGGCCAGCAGTGGCCTGCGGAGGCCTGTGGTTTCTGGGCATCTTAGCCCCAAGTCTTGGCCCCACTTCTTTGCGGGACCGTCTTGGCCCGAGGTCCCCTCACCTCACACACACGCTCCCTCGCAGCGGACGGGCGCCCCCCGGCTCTGGGAGGGGGCCGCGGAGCCAGGCGTGCTCCCCGGAACGCGAGGGACCGTGGGGAGAGGCTCACTTCCCGGGGGCCTGACGGCCCGAGAGTCCGTCCCACTTTGGGCTGAACCCTGGAGCACCCCTTGCCAGGAAGCCTGGCGTCCCCGTGTCCGTGGCGAGCAGGACGGAGAAGGCAGCGCCCCCAGCCCGGACCTGCCCCGGGCCCGCGGGTGGAGGCGAGGGGCGCCAGGGCACACCCTCCTGGAACCCGCTGTTTTCTTTAGGTTTCCTTCCGCGTGAGGACGAGGGTCGGGTTCAGATTTGCGTTTTGCTTTCCCTGTGGCCCTCGGCCCGGCACAGTGCCACCAGTGGCCTTCCTTGTTGCCATTTTGCCCTCAACTCATTGAGCACTTTAAGGTGCTCTGGACTTGGGCCCCCCCACTCCCCAGGGGCAGAGCTGGGGGACAGCAGGGGGGGGTGTAGGCCAGAGCTGGGCCTCCCGCAGCCTCCTGCTGAGCCCCTATCTGCACCGTGAGCAGCGCCAGGACAGGACCCCGGCCTCCGGCACATGCCACCCTGAGCTCAGAAGTGATCAAAGGGGGGGGGTCCTGGCTCCAAGGGTGTGGGGTGCTGCGGCAGCCAACCCGGGAGGGATCCCTTCCAGGGGGGCGGGCCAAGCCTACATTTGCACAAACCCCCATCCCTGACCTCGGCTTAAACTGGGAGACCTGTGTCTGCGGTTAGCCTGACCTTCCAGCCCCCCGGCATGCCCCGGCCGCCCCCAGCCCCTCCCTGGGGACTCAGGCAGGAAAAATCTCCCGAAATGTGGCTTGTGAAAATCCCTTTATGCTCACGGACAGCCCCGGGAAGAAACCAGCCCCTGAAAAGAAATCGTGTGGAAACAGCCCCTCTCCCCAAGCTGAGGGTGGAGGGCCCGTCTCGGGGGCAGCGCGGGAGGCGCGCCCCATGTTTCGCGTGAGGCAAGAAGCCTCGTCCGAGCCCCTGGCCTGGCGCCTGCCGGCCGCGTTCGCTTTCGGGACCGTTACCGGCCGCCCCGACACCAGTTCTCGGAGCAGCCCGAGCGCCGAGGTCGAGCGCGAAGTTCTCCTTCCTTCTCTGTGGATTTCAAATAGATCCTTCCACTGTCTCCACGCTGAGCCAACTTAGGGCGGCAGAGACGCGCTCCCCGAGTTTCAGGGGTTCCCGAGAAGCTTCTGAGGCCGGTTTTGGAGGAAAGCCCAGCAGCTGTGAGATGACCGCCCTCTGTGGGTGCGTGTGTCTCACGAGCTCGCCGTGGACTCACAACCCTGTGCTCTCTGGATCTGCGCTGAGGCTCCGCAGCCCGGGGCGGGGCAGCGCGCGGGGAGGGGTGTCCCGAGCTCTGCCTTCCTGCCCGGCCCGCGGCCCCGGAGGGCGGCTCCTGGCCCGGGAGTTCTGGCCCGGGGCACCGGCGGGCTCCCTCCTGTCCCCCACGGAGCCACTGGGTCCATCTCGCGCGGAGCCTTGGCTCCAGAAGCAGGGCCGGCGGCGCCGGGGGTGGCTGCTGCTGACGGGGGAGCGAGCGTCCCGCCTTTTTTATTTTCAATAAAAACAGCTTCTCGAGATGCTGCCTGTGGTCGTGTGCGGTGGGGCCGGGCCCGCAGGGCGTGGGGAGGGGAGCCCCTGCGCGGAGGACAGGGCTGGGCGAGGTGCCCCGCCTGCTTTGTGTAGAATTACACCCCAGGCCAGAGCATGGGGGTGCCCCTCCCACACCCCATCTGCATTTGTGGCTTCACTGGGGAGAGGGTGACCGTATCCCCCGCTCCCCTGGGGCAGGAGGTTTTGACCAAATGTGGGCTACATGGAGGAGGCTGAGCGCACGGACCTGGCAGGCCCCTCACCTCAGTGCCCACAGGAGTCCCAGGGAGCAGGAATCAGGGGCCGAGCCGAGCGGACAGCTTCCCCGGGCCCGCGGCCACGTCCCGCCTCCACCTTGACTCCCTGGGGCTCGGAGCCACTTGTCCCGGCTCTGGCCGCCAGCGCAGCCCACAGCAGTGCCTGCGCCAGCTGCCTGCCCCGCGGGCCGCCGGCCTCCTGCCCTGGTCCCGTCACTGCCACCCGGGCCGGGCACCGTGGTGGGCAGGTGCCCCGGGGGGGCTGCGGGGAGCCTGGGATTAGCGCCTGGGGGGGCAAGCAGCGGGCGGCTCTCAGTTCCCTCGTCCTCCCCTGAGACCCGGGCGTGGCATCTCGGGTGTGGCGAGGGCGCGGGACGCGGGGCCAGCAGTCGCCAGCCCTGGCCGTGGGCTTCGAGCCAGGACGTCTGTCCAGGGGCAGGATGGGGGGCAGCTTCTCCGGAGCAGGGCGGGGGCAGATCTCACCTCCAAGTTCACCTGGGCTCTCCTCACCCCAGGGCCTGTGGGGCGCTGTGCCCCTGCCCTCACTGCCGCGGCCGGTGCTCCTGTCATCACCATGACACGGGGCCTGAGCTCGGGCCGGTGCTCCCGTCCCAGGCGCTGCCGTCCGTGCGTTTCTTCCAGAGAGCTCCCTTGGGGATGGGGGAGGGGGTTCTTTCCTGTCCTCAGCGAGGACCAGCGGGGGCTACAGAGAGGTTCCTTGAACGGTGGGCACCCCGAAAGGATGGGGTCCGGTCTCCACCTTTCTCCTCCCAACAGCTCGCCGGGCCGAGGCGTCCTCCGCTCCTCGCCGCGGCAAACGCCAGCACCCTGCCTGCCCTGTGCCCTGGCAGCCGCGCTTCTGGCTCGGCCCACAGCTGAGCCAGGCCGCCAGGAAGTCTTCCCCGGGCAGAGATCATCTCTGGGTGCTGCTCTCTCCGCCGCTAGACCCGGCAGCAACTGGGAACTCAGGGCCCTGCTTCTAAGTCTCCCCTCTGCACGCTGGTTTTGGAAACGATGCTCGTTTCCCCACTCGCTGGCACACAGGCTGAGGCTGGCTTGGAAGGGGACCCTGGGGGCACGAGGCCGAGCCGAGAAAGAGCAGCCGTGCGGCGGGCGGGTGGGGGACGGCATCCTGCCTGGGTAGATCCCTGCGCACAGCCCAGGATCCCCCACAAGGAGGGGCACACCAAGGCCCTCCGGGACCAAGGAGCAGGGCCGCGGTGGGGCGAGGGAGGCCACCCCTGCCCAGCCCGTGTGGGAGCCGCTCCACCCCCGCCCCGTGTGCCCCGAGGGGAGCCCCACGCCTGGGACAGGCGCACGCGGGACGGGGACCAGAGGGCCGAACGTGCTCTATGAAACTTAAACCTCGACTTCATTTTCATGTCAAACTTCAAAACACAGCGTGAGGAGCGCGCCGGGGGTGAGACTGCACCCGAGGTCCCGTGCCCTGTGCCCGGCGCCGGGGGCGCCATTTTCGTCACTGCAGGCAAAGCCCATGGGTGGGCGTGTGCCCACGGCCTTTGCCCTCCCCCGAGACTCCAGCGCGCGAGGGAACGGGCCTGCCCTGGGCTCCGGTCTAAGTCCCCGCTACACGCCAGGCCCCAAACCTGCCCGTTACGGGAAATATTTGTAGACGTCGCCGTTACAAACTGAACACCAGGCCGCAGCATGAAGACTGTGACATTTTATTTCACGCAGCTCTGCAGCGGCCCCACTTCGCCGGGGGGCGCGAGGGGTGGTGGAGAAACCTGACCTGCCGTGGGGCCTCCGGGTGGCCCCGGCCATCGCTCAGGGCGGCTGGTGTCTCCGGCGCCGTCTTGGAGCCTCTTGCTGCAAGGGCAGGTGCTGGGGCCTCAGGCCACAAGGTGCCAGCCGGGTCCAGCAGGGGGGCGGCTCCCCGGCCAGGAGACTGTGCAGGCTGCTGCAGGGACACCCTCTGAGGGTGACCAGATGGCCCGCAGCTCCAGATGCAAATATCCCTGACGCCGCGTCTCCCTCCTGCCCTGGGCCCGGCCCTCCCCGCCTCCACAGCAGCCGCGGGCCCAGCCCTGGCTTCACACAGGTCCTTTCACAGCCGCCGCCCCACGCTGCCCGGCGCTGAGACTCTTCCCCGGG